TTTATTTACTATATAAAAATCTAATATACCACGTAGATCATATGAAAAATGATCTACGTACACCCTACCCTTAAAAAACGCATGATTTTTCACGTTACATCTGATCTTGTAATCTAATTGGTCAATTTGATATCGATCAGTAAAACTGATGATTTTCTGTAATCACCGCAGAATATCACGCAGAATTTAATTTTAACTACTGCAGAAAATCATCGTCCCTGCACAGGGGTATTTGTATTTGTCAGACCTCCCTAATGCGGGCTGCTGGGACTAGCCCAAAGGCGTGCATTTAGGAGACCAATAAGATTGCAGTATTTTTTTTTTTTTTTAAGGTGAGATATAAATCAATTAATATATTTAATTTATATATATAATCAAATTTATTTTTTTACTAAGTAAAAGTTGTAGAGAAAGTCTTTATGATTCTAACGAAAATGTCTTCGCGACTATATACAATAACCTTTATGTTTTGTAAAGAACGTTTAAATAGTCGCGAAGACATTTTTATTTGTATCTCAAGAAATACTAAACCGATTTTAGCGATTTTACAATTATTAGAACCGTAAAGACTTCCTCTACGATTTATACGTATTAAAAGTCCATGTAATAATTGCTTAATAAAAAATTGGTATAGTTTATACTGTATAAATTAGTTGTATTTAGTAAAATATGATAGGCTATTGTATAGCAACCGGCACGTGAATGCGCTTACGGAGAGAATTCATTATATATATATATATATGAGCAAGAAGATAGCATGCATTTAGAGAATAAAGAACTATAAGGCCCAATATGGGGCCAGTCAATGATTGTGCATTTAGGGAATGTTGCATAAAAAATCAAATTTATCTTGTTACATAATTTAAAAAATATATTTTACATACAGTATATTATATGATTTGTAATTCTAGATTTTTATTGGTTAAAAAATATCAATAAGGGTAAAATTACTATGTAATAAAAATTTTAAATTCATACTTCAGTACTGACAACAATATTGATAAAAGATTATATTAAAATTACTATATATGTATATATGTTGAAATTTGTTTCGAATCCAATATTGGGTTAGATATATTGTCCTACTGCAGTACTGTTTATATTGATATTAACGGAGGTTGATATACGTAACACGTATACATATACTTTAAACGTACCCTTCTTATGGCATTTTTATTCAGGAGTATAACCAATTGATTCTTGTCACATTTATAAATTAAATATCAGTATGTAACGCAACTTAAAGTTTTTTTTTAACCACCTACTTTGCAACAATACATATATATGCAATTTTCTGTTTCAAAATCACGGGGAATTATAGTAGTTTCCATTCTATATAGTTGTACCTTAGTTCACTCTATTAAAACAAATATGAATAAAGATTATAACGATAAAGACAAATGCTATATAGCGTATAATTATATGGCACTGTGCCAAGATGAAGTAATAGCAAAAGTTAAATTTGCGTATGTATAACGATAGTACAGTCAGACCTCCCCAAATGCAACCTCCCTAAATGCAGTCTATGAGAAACTTCTCTAAATGCATGGTCTTGTTTTGCCCAACTCATACAATGCATACGTATAGATTTCTACCTCCCTAAATGCAATACAATACCTCTCTAAATGCAAGATTTTTTAATTTTTTTTTCATATAGGACCCTTGCCTATGCATTTAATTGTATATAATAAATTACTTAATGCAATCGTTATGGAATTTTTAGACCGCTTGGTTAAAGAGGATATAATTTCCCGACATCCAATTCTAACTTAGAATCAAGTCAATGCTAAAGTTGAATCAAGCGACCTTACTGTTACGTAGAAATAATCAACTATAAGGGGTAATAGACTTTTAGGTCTTTTAAAGGAAAAATTTCTAGAATCTATAATGGAACAAAAATAAATAAATAAAGATGCAAATTATAAATGCTGCATAACATTCTTGCATCATAAAGGCGATTTGCCCAATAAAGCATAGGGCGGAACGTGTTCTCACCTTTGGGCAAGAAAGATTATACAGAATAGGGAATTTTAAAAAAAAGGAACAGTATAATAGTAGATCACAGGATTTTGAAAGCTTTGTTAGATAATTAGCCATTTGAACAATTATTGATTGAATCTAATAAACTAAATTTAGGGATAAAATCTAAAATTACACATGTACATACGTACACAGGTACGTACGTACGTACGTACATACATTTCAAACTGGACGAGTAGATTGACAAAAACAATAAATATCATTTCATAAAATCAATAAAAATTAAAAATGAAACATGAAAACTCCTTTTAAAGATGTGGTTAATCGAGGTCTAAGACTCTGTGGAACAACTACATAAAGGTAGGGGAATATAAACGTTTTACAATCAAAAGCCCGATACCACAAAAGTAAATCCTGTTGATATTAATATTAAAAAGTGAGTAGCATTTATTATCTCAATTGCATTATCTTTTAAAACCAAGTTTGGTAATCATTTATTACACTAATTGCTTTAATACAACGTTAATCGGAAATAAGGAAACTCAAAGTATTATAAAAAAAAATTTGAGAAATATATACAATTATTATGTCAAACAATTTAATCAAGAGACGAAAATTCGAATGTTTCGTAATAATTGAGGCTGCAACCTCACGGTTCCAAGCATCAAATAATGAAGAAGGTAATTGAACGTTCGCAGTAGTTTTAACATAAAGAGTATGGTTACAAGTCGGAAGCTTTTGAAGCCAAGAGCATGATTTAAAGTATTAAGTCCATTATTTGGTTGTAAAGATGAATTTGAAACAGGGGAATTTATGTTGTGTTATCGTTTTCAATTTTTTTATTATACTTTACGTAACCTTAACACCTAATTTAATAGACATTTGTTAAGATTCTAGTATTCACTGTGAATAATAGTTGCAGTAATCTTTGTTCCAAATTGCCAAGGTTTATAATAACGCTTATATTTTTGCAATTGCAATTGTTCAACCATTCTCAGCAAGGAGAATATGTAACATTAAATGGACACCAAATTATTTGAAAAAAAAAGTATAAAAGCAAGTCGAATTAGCCTTAGGTATAAGCATTCCTCTCAACTAAGACTTAAGGAAAAAAAAACAAATAGTCGCCGGACGACATAATTTTATCAAATTTGTCCTATTTATCCTATTTATCCTAAACGATCTTTTAAAAAGAAAAACAAAAAAAAAACCTAAAAAAACCATTCATTTACAGTTTTCAACCGATCTCAAAGTACCAATTATAAAATACAAAAATGCAATTCTTCAAAATTTTCGTATTTGTAGCTCTCTTTGCAGTAGCATTCGTAGCAGCCGCGCCCCTTGATAAAAGGCAAGCTGTGAGAACAACAACAACAGCACAACCTACCGCTACTGATGGATCTAGAGTCGCTGCCGCTTCACCTAAATGTGACGATGCAACAGTTCTTTCCGATAGCGAGCCAGTTAGCAGCGTTGACGGAAAAACTTGCACCTATAATAGTGTCCCACCAGACCAACAAAGTAAACTCGGTACCAAACTTTAATAATAATTTCTTTAGTTTTTTTTTTATTTTCTTTTTTCATTTTTCGATGGGGTATTTTAATGGCATGGATATTTTCGCGGAAAAGGTTTTTGGGTATTTACGGCATTTTTGATAAAAAAAAAAAAAAAAAAAAAAAAAAAAAAAAGTTTAATGTAAATGTGTGCTATTGCATTCAGTGTGTACTTTATTTCCTTGAGGGGAGTCACAATGTAGTTTTTAAATATATTTATTTGTAAAAAAAAATTACAAAAAGTGAGCCTTATTTTTGTATAATGGTTAAGAAAATAAATTATGTTCGGTATTTTTTCAAAAAAAAAAAGTGTTATTCTTTTTAGTAAGATTTAGAATCAGTTCGAAAAGAATAATGTGAATCAATTCTCATGATGAATTACAAAAAATATGCGTTCAACATATTAACAGTGACTTGATATTATAGATTGATATACCAATAGAGAAGACTGAGTAAAATCTCAATATAAGGATACCATAATAAATTCTTCTCGATACGTATAATGAAAACCGTTATTATACGTACCAAGAGTTACTTTATCCGTGTACACTCATTGATATATTGTTATCAAAAATTATTTGACAAATAATTTATCCAAACCCGACTACGTACGTACTAGAAATTATACATATTTCAAGTCGGCTGCGTCAGGGTTTATGATTGGCCCTAATGATTTTATAAGCCGAAGTGAAAAATAAGTGTTGATTATATAATAATTTAAATTAAAGATCACTAATGTCAAATAATTGTTCAAATTAAAGATCACTGTGTTAAATAATTGTTCAAATTTAACGCAGCCGATCAAAACCTGACACATTCGGTTAGCATTAGTTATAAGTTCTGATCAGTTTTTCATTTATACAATATAAGTTATATATATAGTATTGCTAAATTAAAATCAGAGTTCAGTTTTTCAGCACTTATGTCGATATAATAAATTAAATATGATCAAGCAATTATTTAAGAGCAAACTAATAGTGTCGATTGTACGTATGGATTCTGTGCCAGTCTTTTTGTAATTAAAAAGTTCTTTAAAGTTAATTGATGTTAGAGTTAACGTTTATATTAAGGTTAAATGTTAGAAACTCATAGTAAAATTGCTCAAGAAAATCTTTTTGTTAGAGCACTAAAGGTGGTTTTTTAAGCAGATTTTTTAAAATGGATTTTGTTTTGAATCTTTTTGATCGCTCTGATCGTGTTATGTTACAGTATATCTGATCCCTGAAATCCAGGAAATCTGCCGCAAACCTGGCACAGTCATCGATTATTGGGGTGTACCATGCAAGCCTACTTACAAACATAGTGTATAGTGAAAATAATTAATTGAATTTTTTTTATAAATCAACAATAGTGTAATAGTAAAATAATACGTAGTAAAAACATATAAAATTCAAACCGCAATAACTCTTAAACCAGTAAGTCCACACAAATAAAATTACATTTATCAGGTTCATTTTAGCATATTCTTTAAAGTAACAACGCCTTTTTTTATTTATTTTTATTGTTTAGAACATAGCGAGTGTCCCAATTTCTATGCAAAATTGTCGTCTTTGATATTTTTCTAAAAACGTAGCTTTGAATTTTCCGTCGATCACCATTGCATACCAGGCGATCGACAATTCAGGGGGTAAATTTTTAATATGAAATCAAATGACTGACGCATCTAAATTTTATATGTAAAATTTAGGCAAAATTCGCTTTCTAAGCTTATTTAACAATAAAGAAGTTGTTAGTTTAATT